AGAGAGGAGAGGGACAAATCTTGCCCTTCCCAGTAGGCTCAAGCAAGAACAACATTACTTGGCTGGTTCTTCCTCATTGATAATTTTTGCCATCTTGGCCACAGTCTCATGCTTCTTGGCCACATGTGTCCCAGTTTCCACCTACAACATGTCGACCAGTATTAACTGGGAATAAACCCAGTGTTAAGTCACCCCAAGGACTCTTACCAGAGGGTGCTCCGCTGTGTTTGGAGGGGTTCTCCAGATCTGGACCCCTGCCCCAAATCCTGTCCGGATGACATGGCTAGTGCCCCCCATTTCCTAGCCACAGCCATTTCCCTCCCACATTCAGACCCACCAGCATTCTCTTCTCTTCCCGAAACCCCAACCCTCCTCCCCCTTTGCATTCCCAAGCTTCGGCTGTAGCTCATGTGGTTTGGAGGGGAGCCCAGGATGTCTTGCTCAGCCTGAGATGAATTAGGCGATTATGAATCTAGGACAACGTCTAGGGCTGTTTTGGCTCCGGGAGGCGAGAGCTGTTCATGCACGGAGGCTGAGCCAACCTCATGGGCCCAGCCATGGAAGAGGGGTAGGAAGAAGAGAAGGGGGGCAGGAAAGCGCAAGGCCAGCCATGAAGGTGGAAGGCATCTCTCCCCACTCCTTCGCTGCAATCTGGACCCCACACGCCACTCTTATTTCATGATGCATTATAGAGCACTCTATATCCCACTGATTTTTATGCATCTATGGGGCTTGATGGAATGATAAAGTACGGTGCATTGCATATAAAACACATTGGGGGGGAACGGGACTGAGACTCCCAGAATCCTCTAGCCTGCCTAGAATCCCATAACTGCCTAGGGGATTCTGGGAGCTGCAGTCCAAAAAATAAAGAAAAACATGTCCAAATTTTGGTCTCAGTTCCCTGTCCCATCCAGGTTGCTGAGCAGAGAGGTGAAAGGGTTATTTATATGTGAAAGGAGATTAGCCTAGAAAATCCAGAGGTTAGTGGGAGGTGGGGGAATAAACCAATAAAATCTGTTTTGCTTATATATGCATGAGTTGGAGTCGACGGGAAACGGATCCAGGGGTTGATGAGTTTGGGATACTGAATTTGCAAGAAACTCTGAATTCTGTAGACACAAAATCTGAGGTGTTGTCCATTTTTGGAATACAATTTTGGGAACCAGAATGACAAAGTGGAACTCTAGCTCCCAGAATTCCCACTGGCTGAGAAATCCTGAGAGTTACAGTCTAAAAAAAAATCACTCCACCCCATCTCACCCTGATGGTGTCTTCCCAAAATTTGATGTACTGGAGTTGCAGTGGCGTGTGACTTCAAAAACTATTAACAATGGCTGCACCTCCTGCCCCACACCTAAAGCCTCAGTCTGCCTCAAATCCATCTCTCTTCTGCTGCCTTCTGCAAGTTACTGCAAAACCAAAAATCAGTAATACTAATAAGCCCCAAATAGGTATCTTTTGCAATCCTAGACCAGTTAAGTTGTGTTTTTTAAAGCTACTTTTCTAAGCTTTGAGAAGAGCTTTTTCTTCTTTTGAATTCAGGTATTTCTGGTGGCAAAATAGGATAATAAAAATGGCCAGGATACTGATGTGTCTAAATGTATTTGCAACTCTGTATTGACTTCCAACGTTGACGACGGGGGGATGGGGGGGGACCTTTCAATATAATCTGAATATCAACATTGTACATAGTGGAGAAGCTTCTACTCATGAACCTTTGGACACTCAGGAACCATTTATTTCAAAATGCCTTGTAAGTAACTAAGGCTTAGCCTCTGCCCAAACCAAACCCCATCTTGCTCCCACCTCACCTGTCCGCTTACCTGTGCACATAACCCATGCGGTGTATCGAGTCTATGGCCATCACCATCTCAGCCAAGTAGAACCGGGCCATCTCCATAGGGATGCGGTCCCCAAACTTGCTCAGCAGCGTCAAGAGGTCACCCCCAACGTAGTAGTCCATCACCAGATACTACAGGGAGGGAGCAGATGAAATACACTAACAAGGACCTTGGAGAGTCATTTGTGCCTTGACTTTCTCATTGTGAAACCAGAACACAGGGCCTTACCACCACTGTCTGGCTGACTTTCCTTCTGAGTTTCTGGCTTCTCGCTCTCCAAGACAGACACAGTGGCCAACTGGATCTTAAGAGCCAAGCCATTGCTTTGATTCCTCCTGTTCTAATGAACGTTTCGTAGCCCACAACAGCACTCACCAGGTAATTCTCATCCTGGAAAGCAAAATGCAGCTGCGTGATCCACCGCTTGTCCCCGTTCACCAAAACATCTCGCTCCTCCCGGAAACAGGAAACCTACAGTAGGCAGGAGCAAGATTTTAGACAGAAAACCCAGGTTTGGCTTCTGCACCATAAGATTAAAGGCCCAGATATATATCTCTAGTCTTCATCTTTCACTACCTAAACAGCATCTAAAAAGTTTACCTAATGCAATAGCATGGAGGCTTCTTGAGAAAGTCAATGTTCTCTGCAAGGACAAATTGGATATCAAAGGAAATATCTTCCTAATGTTACTAATGGAGTTTAAGTCCCAGTAAAGGGATTTTGGGACCACAACTTCCAGAGTTCCCCATGGTGGCAAGGGGATTCTGGAAGCTGTAATCCAAAAATTTCACTTTCCTAAGCCCTGGATGAGGTCAGTTTAGGGCTGCAACCTTCTAACTTTCTTTGAGACGTGGCTGTGTATCCCAACAGAGGTCTAGCGGATGGGATGAGGGCATTGTCTCCCAAATAAAAACTCTGCCCTCCAGGGAAATGTTCCTTTAGTCCCCAAATTTCTAGCATGACAGAGAGTAAGCCATTGAAAATCATTCACACCTAGATCTCTTCCATTTGCTGTATTTACATTCCCTGGGTCACCCTGCCTGTCCCCTTTTCTTTGGATGCTTAAACTGTATTTCTAAATGTTCAATTGAAGCATTAAGTGACTGTAAAGCTAGAAATTTGGAGAATGGAGGAACTTTTTTCATTAGGGGGCATTTAGGAAATGTCCTCATTTTGCCCTCTCTCGCAATTAGACTCCAGTATCCCATGCCATCTCAGAGGATGGCAATGGCAAACCCTCTTTGATGAAACTTGCCAAGAAAACCCTGTGATAGGTTCACCTTAGGGTTGTCATAAGTTGGAAATAACATGAAAGCACACAACAACAAACAACAACCCCATGCCCTCAGCAGAGACTGGAGAGTCACCTTGGCCCAGTGAGGTGCCATCTTTGTACCTACCTCACCTCGCTTCAGCATATCCCACTTGTTCATTATTTTCATGGCATACACCTGCGAGGTCCTCTTCTGCTTCACCACGGCTACCTGCAAAGACAGAATGCAGGAGGGAGGGAAATTATTATTATTATTATTATTATTATTATTATTATTATTATTATTATTATATTTCACCTCTTTCCCAAAACTAGGACTTAGAGTGGCTTACAAGATTAAGAACATTGCTATTTTTAAAAAGTGTTACCGTACATTAAACAGAATTAAATTAGTAAAGTAGGAAGGTCAAGTAGGAAGAGATGTTGAACTTTAACTCCCAGAAGCCTCCAGCCAGCCCAACACTTCTGGGTGCAAGAAGTTGGGGAGACCAAACTTGACCAATCCAATTTCCCTTCTCTGCTTCTCTGTTTTTCTTGCCCAGATGGAGAACCATGAGACCAGGTTTTTCCCACTAAACTAAATCTATGGAAGGAAGCTTTTCACCATCCTAGGGTGCGGGAATAAAACATGCAAAAGCTGGTAAGCCATCCAACTATGGCATACTAGGGAAAGGGGTGAGAATAGATTAGGACCAGGAGATCATATTTTTCCCACTAAATTAAATCTGGGAAGGGAGATTTTTCACCTTCCCAGAATGAGGGAATAAACATGCAAAAGCCGGGAAGCTACCAAACTATGGCGTACTAGGGAAAGGGGTGAGAACAAATTAGGATGAAGAGACCATATTTTTTCCCCACTAAACTAAATCTGGGAAGAAAGATTTTTCACCATCCCAGAATGAGGGAATAAAGTATGCAAAAGCTGGGAAGCTGCCAAACTATGGTGCACTAGGGAAAGGGGTGAGAACAAATCTGGGGAGGGGAGCTTTTCACCATCCCAGAATGAGGGAATACAACATGCAAAAGCTGGGAAGCCACCAAACTATGGCGTACTAGGGAAAGGGGTGAGAACAGATTGGGGTCCCATTGGCTGCCTTAGGCTTCCCACCAACTCTCCTCACCTCACTGAAGGCTCCTCGGCCGATCACTTTGAGGATCTCAAAATCGTCTCGTTGCAGCCGAAGCTCTTTCAACCTGGATGTCACTGGCTCAGCTGTAGAGAGAAAAGCAGGCAGTCAATAATTACTTGGGGAATTTAAAAAGAACAGATAGGATTTATATTGAAATATTTCTATTCTGCCTTCTATCCAAACATCTCAGGTTGGTGTACAAGAAAATCAACATGTTTGATTTAAAACAACGTCGTAAACAGTACAGATGTTATTAAAAGGGTAAGAACACATTAAACAGTTTAAAAAGTGAAAGAAGACTTAGATTAAAACCAATTAAAATCAGGGGTGTTGCTATAGGTGGGGAAGAGGACATTGCTTCCCCCAATAAAAATTCTACCCCAGCAATAAATTTTTCCTTCCGTCCTTTAATTTCGAACATTGCAGCAACTTAAAGCTTCAGCTGAGCATTCAGAAATACAGTTTAGATATCCATACCATTCCATTTGTCCCGTTTGGCAGGGACAGTCTGGATTATGCCTCTGTCATGCCATTTTTTTCAGTTGCTTTTAAAATGTCCCAGTTTCTCCCTCCTCTTCCACCTTTGTCAAAAGTTGACTTCAGTGGCAGAAAACTGAGTTCAATGTCCAAAAGTAGTTTGCGCTCTATTAACTCAGCAAGTCAGATTCTCTTAGCCTCAGAGGAAGGCAATGCCAAACCCTCTCTGAACACATCTTGACAAAAACACACACAAACTATGATAAGTTATGATATGGCAGCATGGCATAATGGTTTGAGCACTAGATTATGACTCTGGAGACCAGGGTTCATTTCCCTGCCTGGTCATGGAAACCCACTGAGTGACGTTGGGCAAGTGACACACTCTCAGCCCTAAAAAAAAAAAACACATAATAGGATAACTTTAGGGTTGCCCTAAATCAGAATGACTTGAAGACACACAACAACAATAACAACAACAGGTTTACTTTGGGATCACCATAAACTGGAAATGACTTGAAGGCACTCAACAAGAAAAAAATCAGGAAACGTGATCAGGAAAGCAGGGGTTGACATAAAGGCTTTAAAAAATGGGCTGAATGGCTGAGGATGCTGTAGTGCTCTGGCTCAATGGTTCCCAAACTTTGGTTCTCCAGATGTTTTGGACCTTAAGCTCCCATAATTCCTGACCATTGGCCAAGCTGGCTAGGGTTTCTGGGAACTAAAATCCAAAACACTTGGAAGATCAAAGTTTGGAGACCACTGCAGCTGGAGATCCTGTACCGAACAGGGGTTCAACTCGATTGCCCATGGGGCTCTTTCCGAGTCCATGATTCTAGGATGACTTCGGTGCCATAAACGGCAGGAAGACATGCCCGCTAATATCCCATTTCAAACGCTTACAACCCCATGAGAGATGGTGACTTGAGATGAACAGGAACCCCAAAACATGTGGGGTTTTGTCGTGTGTGTCTTTAGCCCACCTGTTGCCAACCGAACCCACCAGGCGTTGGCCCATCTCCCTTGGCCGCATATTATTAGCCGGAGAGAAAGCTTCCCTTATACAGCCATGCCAACTCTGGACTGAGCTAGCATGACTCAGATGTTTCCTAGGGGAGGGTTTCTGCACCCAAGGCTTGAGCACATGCCTTAAAATAAATGTGGCGCTAACCAGGGATGGGGTGGTGGCGAATTTTGGGATGTGATCCGTCGCCACTCAGGTGACCTCAGATGTTGGCGTCAACCGGGTGACTCAGCCGCCAGCCCTGCAAGGCGGCAATGCATTGGAGATCAGGTGGAGGAATCTCCCAAGGATCTTTCTAAGACCATTTCCTCACATGGTGACAGAAAGATAAAGCAAGAAGGCGCAAGGAGGAGGAGGAGGGGGAGCACCACGCAATTGGGCTGGCTGGCAATAAAACAGCTGAGAAAAGGCTTTGGAATACAGGGAGGGGAAAATGGTTTATAAATAGCCGAAGGATGTGACCAAGGCATTTGGAATGGGAATTGTTTGCAAAGGCATTTTGGGATTGCAAAAGGCTGGATAAATAAGCAGGAGAGACAGAGGGGGAGAAAAGGGTGGTATGTAAGCACAGCCTCAGCTTTGCCTCCTTCTGTTTCCACACATCCTAACAAGAGCTTTGTTGGATCAGACCAACCAGCCAACGCATCCAGTGTCCACCCTGCCTGTCTTTATACCAACTAACCAGCAATCTTGGAAAAGGCCACAAACGGAGCACAAATGCTCCAACATTTCATAGATTAAAACATGAACACATGTGGTCAAGATGGCCAAAGATATTATTGAGGAAGACTACCAATGGGCGGTATAAAAATAAATTTTATTATTATTATTACAAGCTAAGAGAGGCTGCAATAGTGTGCTTTTGCAGAAACCATTGGGAAGGATAAGATTCTGTCCCTCCTCGCCTGTCTCCACTGCTGAATTAATGAAGTACACACTATTTTTGCATTTTGAACCCGGTTTGCAACAACTGAAGCAAGCTGAGGATGAAGGTGGAAACAGGGAAGAGGAGAGAGAAACTGGAACATTTTAAAAGCAGATGAAAAAGTGGGACAGCAGAGGATTAATGGACCAAACTAGGACAGTTAGGGAGTATGAGAATACCAAAACCAGATTTTTTTTTCCTTATTGCTGTTCATTATCGATTATTGCTCACAGAAGGACTGCCTCTTATTACTCTTTGCAGATGAACAAAGGTTAGAATAGGTACTTTTTAGAGTGGAATAACAGATCCTACAATCCCCCAGTTGTCACACTGCTCCCTGGGAAATTTAGGCAGTTCCCAAAAAAGTAACTTTTCAGACTTCCACAGAGTACAGACCTGCATTCCTCAATGAATTTCTGTCATGCTTTTATTTCATTTATTTTTTTTTCGTACCATATTTATTTCATTTCTAAGCAATCTAATCCCCTGCACATCTCCAGCATCTCCAGCATAATCTCTATTCCATCATCCAAGTCATTAATAAAGATGTTGACTAACACTGGGCCCTGGAAAAAAAAGATCCTGTGACTCCTTAGTCCCATCTCACCAGGATGAAGAAGAGCCATTGGTGAACACCCTTTGGGTTCGGTTTGTCAAACAACTACAGATCCACTAAACAGTTGCATTGTCTAGCCTGCATTTTACTAGATTCTTTGCAAGAATATAATGAGAACCTTGTCGAAGATACACTACAACTGCAGCATTCCAGCATTCCCTTTATCTACTAAATTTGTGGCTAAAGTATGAAATGAAAATCAGCCATTCCTTACACCAACAGAGTATAATGGGATCTCCACGATCACTAGGGTTAGGGGCACAGGACCCCTGTGAAAGTGGAAAAAACACAACTTTTTTTTAAAAAACCACTATTTTTTTAATCTGAGAGAAGGAATCTCTCCAGGAATCTCTATGTTCTCCAGTGCAACTCTGTGGTCCACATCTGCCAGAAGTTGACCACAGAATTGTGCTGGAGGACCTACAAATGCCTCGAGAAGGGTTTTCTCTAGACATCTCTAAATCCTCCGGTGCAACTTCTGGTGGAGCATAGGGTCATGCTGGAGGACGTAGCGTTTCCTAGAGAGATCATATTCATCAAATCCGTGAATAATCAAATCCACAAAAGTCAAAGCCGCAAATGGGGAGGGCTGACTGTAATTTTGTCCTCACTCGCCACTTTCTTTCCTGAAATGGGGTTTTGTTACCACTTTGCTGCTTCCCAGAATTAACTATATAAATTGCATTACTTGGAATTCAAGATCTGAGGATTACTTTCAAGGACAGAAAAGATTGCCATCATGCTCTGTGCCTTGGACAATTTTCTGGTGGCATTTGACATATTAGATCAGGAGTGGGCAACTGTGAAAGGCTGGGGAGGTGCATTGCTGCCATCACTCAGGATACTTTGGAGTATATAATATAATAAAATAATAAAAGTTTCACTCCAGACATGCTATAGGGCAGCAGTTCTCAACCTTTGATTCTCCAGAGTCCAGATGATTTGGACTTCAGCTCCCATATGAGGCCATTTTTGCAATGTTTTGGGGACTTCCTGGGCCCTTTGGGTATCTCTGAAGCAAAACCTTTTTCTTTTGCAAAAACTAGTTTTGATCCAGATGGGGAGAGGAGTCCAACAAAGCTCTGATCATGGTGAAAATGCCCTCCACATCCCTTTTAAGAGGTCATTCTGGAGCAAAAATAAATTTGGCCTTTGGGGACACATGCACCCAAAGGCTACACTTTGCCCAGCCCTGGACTAAATGGATGCTTTAAATAGAGCCTGGATGGCCATTGGTCGGGGGTGCTTTGATTGTGAGTTCCTGCATGGCAGAAGAGGGTTAGACTGGACTGGATGGTCCTTGGGGTCTCTTCCAACTCTATGATTCTAATGGATCTTGGGTTCCAATCCAGCAAGCTTTTTCTTATGTTCGTTGATGCAGCCTCTAGGCTGGGTTGCTGTCTTCGGTCCGAGACTGCAGCCACACTGCAGAATTAATGCAGTTTGACACTGCTTTAACTGTCACGAGCTCTCTGACGGAGAAGGCTCAACAGCTCGCCGGTCTACAAATCCCAGGATAGCAAAGTACACAGCCATGGCAGTAAAAGCAGTGTCAAACTGCACTAATCCTGCAATGTAAATGCAGCCTGAGCGGAAGGCTTGCCTCTTGCCAAGGTCTCCTTTTACCTCTCGAGAGGGGACCAGCCTCGCTTCCCCGCCTCGGACAGTAGTCCGAAGAGACTGAGCATCAGGAGTTTGCGGATGGAACCCAACGGAAAGAATAAATCCAGGGCTTGGAAATATTGCTCTTTTAGGGCTATAACTTTTGCTCTTTGGGAAGGTTATATATAACTTCCAACATTCTGGGAGCTGTAGTCCAAAAAGCAAGGAACATTTCGCTGCAATAATTCATTGCAACCTCCCTCCAAAAAAATAATAATAATAATAATGCAAAAACAGGGTATCAAAAGGAGGTCTTTGCAATTGCCTAGCAATGGCCGAAAGCCTTCCCTAGTGCCCCCCTTTTCCAAATCTGTATGCCAGAGATTGCTAGGCAACTGCTACATACTTCATCCTCTCTGGCCACTGGAGAGGCCAAAAAAGGGACTGATTCTTGGCACCCGGCAAAGCAGGACCCAAACAGAAACATATTTTCCAAGGGTGCAAAGCAAACAAAGAGGGTTGCTGCTGTTTCTTGTTTGGCTGTTTCTAGACAATCCAACCTATCTAGAGATGGATTGAGCAATGTATTTTTGGAGGTACGGTTTATGCAACCAAGTCGCGCGTGTGCGTTTTGCTTAATGCAAAGCCACATCGTAGAAACTGTTGCAAACAACAACAACAACAAAGCATTATATAAGGATTATAATGAAATAGTTAACTTTGCCAGTCCTACAAAACTCTTGGAGCTAAGCCCCATCAGTATGGCTTGCCTGCAGCCACATGGCAGAAATAATGCAGAAATAAAGTGCAGTGCTATGGAATCCTGGAATTTGTAGATTATTTGTAGATTATGTGGATGCAGATCTCTTCTAACAGAGAAGGCTAAATAGCTCACAAAACTACAAATCCCAGGACTCCATAGCATGGAGCCATGGCTGTTAAAGTGGTGTCAAACTGGATTATTTCTGCAGTACAGATGCAGCCTAGGACTAACTTCCAAGAGAGGCAGCATGGTGTAGTGGTGTGAATGTTAGACTATGGTTTGGATCAGATGATGTAGTGGTTTGAGTGTTAGTGATCCTAAGCAAGTCACACTCTCTCAGCCTCAGAGGATGGCAGTAGCAAAAAACAAAAACAAAAAACCCAAACACAAAATTACCGGAATAAATCTTGCCAAGAAA